AATGATGATGGTAAATTACGTTAACATAAACAAGCCAAAGATACGTAAGGTAGCATCATCAGCGATCCACGATGTCTCCACTGAGGGACTCGGAGCCTCTCCCAAGTAAGGGGTGACTAAACCTTAATCAACAACCACACCAACCACGGATGTTACGATAACTATTTTAGAATTAAAACCTATGTATTTATAACGAAAAATGTTAAATATCACCAGAGTTGCCGCTATTGCGAGATGTTTTTTTCCTGGTGCGTCGCGCGGCAGAGGTGAAGCCCCGAGATAAGACCCAATGCAACCGCCTCTCGGTGCCCGCGCACATTGTGAAACAATCATACGCAATACGACCACCTGGTTACACACATTTTCATACAAGTAATCTAGACATTATATACCTACTCACTTGACGTGGCCATATGTTAGTATAGACCTCATAAAAATTTAATAATCTATATCAAACAAAACACGGAAGCCTGATATCCAGCACTGAGCCGACAAAGGCTAATGACTATGATGAAACACGGAATGTAGAGCTGTGGTGAAGACCGTACCACGAGTCTATGTGTATAATAAGTATAGTGCAGGAGGTGCGGTGGTACAATGGTAACGGTTAGCTCGCTTTCTTTACTACGGTAGTCTTTACTTTATTGATTTACGATTAGATGTTATCACACAATAATGAATAATGATAAAATTACTTTAGTATAGTGCATACGTGCCGCTATTAGTAAAAACTATTAATTCATATGAAGAAACCATACATAAAAAACTGTTAAAGTCTACTTAAGTCAAAAACTTAAACAAAGAAATGTAAAAATCAAAAGCCGATGAAAATGATGTAAATCACATAAATTGGTTTCGCTTATTTCATAAAAAATTTGTAGCGCAATTTTAGATATGTAATGAAGGAGATTCTTTCGTGTCGAATAAATAGGTTAATAGTCAGGCGGTCGATTGACCCTTGATAGTCGCGACACCGGCACCGAAATAACGATTAAAATAATAACAAACTCCGCCACGTACGTATGTGTTATTACCGGGCCGCGCGGCCGTAAGGTTATTGGCTCTGTTATTTTTAATGATACTGCGTCGTAGAAGTGAACCTCGTAGAAATGAGGGCGCGGGCCGCGGGCCGAGGCCGGGTCGCCGAGGTGCGTGCGCCGCGCCGCGCTAATACAGTCCCTATGGCGAGGCGCTAAGTGCCAGCCGAGGTGAGCGCGGCCACGGCGCTGCGGTGTGACGTCAATGCGCTCTGTGCTCGTGTGCGTCGCTGATAAGATAAGGGCGGGGGCGAAGGATCGCCGACGCAACGCTCACGTGTCGCCGCCGCAGATCATAACATCGACGTGTTCTCGGAAGATCGCAGTGATTGATTGCTCTTTGTTCTGCCGGAGCTAACGTCGCACTTCTATGTAAATTACCTGCAACATACTTCAAATTATATACCTATTTTACTACAAAAAAATCAACATGAAATGCATATTTAGCCAACTTAACAGGAAAGCTAACTTTACGACAATTCGTTCATGTCGCACGTAAAGTATTGTTAAGTTTTCACGCTACTTGTCCTGTTTCATTAAGATTGTAGGACAATAACAATGAAATAATAAATACAACACTGAAAGTACCAGGATAGAAAGAACTTTATTATTTCACTGAAGTAAGCTGTGCATTTCGGTACAATGTAAAAGTATCTTCCTGCAAGACCGGGCTTGTACTTTACACATCCGAGAATCCCCATCTCGTAGAAACAATGTGTTTTTCGAAGTTCATATGTTGACCTGACATCCGTACGGTAAAGGTGAACGACGAGAAGCAATCTGTACACATCGGAAAAAAAAATTAAAATATAACATATTGAAGTCAACAATTCCGTACTGGGCCTACGTGATCGACTGTGGCCCAAAAAATTATGTGTATTTGATGATGAGAAAAATAATAATTACACTTAATATTTGATAAATCTAAATATCAGTTTATACCTGAACCTGCATTTTTAAGTTACGAGAGGAGTTATATAATTTTGCTATGATTTGTAGCCTTTGTTCTCAAGTTGTAGCTGTAATTATTTCTTTATAGTTCAGCCAATGCCGATACAAAGGAGAAGCTCTGCATTTATTACAAGATAAACGAAAGATCACAACTCAGTGCCCTTTCTTGACAATAACATTACAATATTTTTAATCTCTGAAACTCGTGTTGGAACGTCTCAAGTCAAATGCTTCCACCAATCATAATGTCTTTCTGATTTTGCGTTTTCTCTAATGCTGCTATTTGTACTAAACAAGTTAAACAAATATTTGTTTTCTTTGAATTTATCTTAATACAATTATAATGTGGAGCCGTGCCGGTGACAATAGCATCGCCACAGATGTGCGCCAACTTTTTGTACCTTGTTTTTGTTTTATCAGCTAAACAAAAGCTGGAAGTCCTCACACCGTCGCGGCGCACCGGTGTGCCACATGCCTAATAAAGACGACTTTGACACTTCGAAACACAATAGGCATCCCGGAGACCGGAGACCATCTGGCACCGGCGTGTGACCGCCGGCACCTGCACGCCGTTGTGGGCCCTATGCCGCCGCCGTTACGGTCCACGGGGGAAGGTGAGAGTTGCGATTGCGAGGACAAAGCTAGCGCGGTGCGAACAATTAGTGTTTGTCCGCTGCCGGGGCTGCTCGCCACATGGCCCTGCAACCTCACAACTTCTAAGTCACAACTCACAAACGATGCTTGCGAGGACAAGTGAAGCACATTGATTTATTGCCTATTGCTCGCTTGTTACTTACTGTATCGATCTTGTGATTACCAACCTGGTATAGTTTGTCCGTGGGACATTTATTTCTGCCTTGTATCGCTATTGCATAGAGATAGCGGTCGAATACGTTATTCTATAAAAATAATATGTACACGAATCGGAAATATTATTACAATGAAAGAAACTACCCAATGGATAGCCATGTTCAAAATTTCTGTTTTCTTATAACTTTTTATTTTAATTAACAATAGCTTCGTGCGCTTCTCTGCATGTCCTGTGACAGTGTCATATTCTACGTTCATCAAAGTATTAATTATAGTAAGGAGATAATCGCAGCTGGAGACCGAGCCCAAAGCCGTGGACAGCACGCAGAGCATGTGCAACATGTCTGAGATGTGCGACATACACATTAAATAAACTATAGAAACATGTATAAAAACTTTAACTAATCTGCCACAAGCAAAGTATTTCCAATACATTTTTTGTAAAGGGTTGCAGGTCCCGGGGTGAGAAGGGGCGCAGGCGGGGGCGGGGGCGGTAGATAACCTCCGAAACCAAACAGATTACTGTTTTTTCTAACGTCAGTTATCTAAACTAACCGAAATTTTTGAATAACTACGACCGATAACAGAAAGTGACATGTTTTAAAATAAAGCTGATTATGTTTCCGCTTCTCTATCTCGTGTTCGTATGTACCGCGACAGCCTATTGCCAGCCAGCTTTAACTAAAGGCTCGACGAACTATTCAGTTAAAATTGTGCATGTTTAGCCAAAATTTTAACAGTCAATTGTACTGTACAGTGTAATGTGTCTATCAAAAGACTAAAAAAAGAAAAACGTCATCTGACTTTTGACACAGACACGTGGGTTCTGAAAAAACGTTGATCGATTATTTCGCTGAGGCTTGAGTTTTCCATTATTATTGGTCCTTGTATCTACTCTTTTCCTTCTTTTGGATGTGAAAGTGTTGCTCCTACATGAGGCAGCGTAGTCGAAGGAGGATTGTGCAGCCCGGGATCGGAGTATCTGCTGCCCAGAGGTTTTTGAAGCAGCCAAGAAGCCGAAGGCAGCCAATGAGCTGAACCCAGCTGATGTGCTTGTCGCTTCCTTGTAAGCGAGATTGATAGCCGTTTCAGCTTTTTTTAATTTTTATGTTAACAAAACCAAAATGTCACAACAAAACTATTTTTTTTATAACAAAATAACGCGACAACTGTCAATAACTTGCAGTTTGATTGTATAATAAGTATACTAACATATTAGCCCTGTAGTGTTTTTGTACATATATGTAAAAATCGTAAAAAAAATAGAATAATCCCCTAAAATATGTAATTGAAAAAATATTAAAAACAAACACCTTATAATAATGTGTTAACAACATTTTGTGAAATTAAAAGCTTGTGATAATAAAATCGTACTAAGATTGGTCGCGCCAAATACGCCTACTGCCATCTCGTGCCAAAAAGCTAAACTAAACCATACGATAACGGGCAACAATCCACAGGTTTAACAGTAATTTTTATGACTTAATTTAATGTTATTTTGATTACGGAATACTATGATGTGCTGTATACTACATTATTACGAGTATAATGGAAGAAAATATGTTTCGAAAATAGATAATAATAATTAATTCAAATTTCGTTTCTTATCAAAATACAGCTAATTTTATTAAGAAGGGTTTTAATTCGATTTGTAGCAGGTTTTGGTCGCTAGTTGATTATGTCGCAGCGAGCCGCTAGATAGAGACGG